TCAGATATTAATATGTGCAAGACATAGAGGTTATCCAGTATAATATCACATGGATTATCAGATCGAGAGTATGTCCACCGTTCTGGGTCGAAGAAGAAACATATTGTGTGAGGGATCTATTATTCAACATTTTACAAAAATCCACCGCGGTAGAGCCGTTGGAATCATCAATATGAAATGTCGTCAAAGCTATATGAGCAATCACATATTAGCACTAGAAATTCTTCTCTCGGGTGAAAAACGAAACAAGCAGTAGCTAGTGTATTTTAAATCAATGTGCAAGCTTAACGACCACAGTATTTAGCTCAACCAGATATCACTTCTGTGGAAGCAGACGTTAAAGCACCAGGTAGTAGTAGTAGTAGTAGTAGTGCACAAACATCAATTATTATTTTATTAAACACACAGTTACACAACAACGAAGAATAACGTTGTTCGATAACAAATTGTAACTTGAAATATTTAAAGACGGGTCATTTACAAAAAGATGGATTGAAAGGTGTTCTTTATATTGTAATAAAGGTTATGTGTTATTGTGACCTCGATGTTCATGGATTTTTAGAGCAATATTCTTTTCGATCAGACTACTTTTTATTTAATTTTAATGTATATGGAATGAAAGTCTAAATTTGCATTTATTCTGGCAGGAATATCACTGATAGTAAACAAACGATAATTTTGAATACACGTGCTAAGAACCCCACAACAAGAACGAAAAGGAATTGAAGTATAGTCATTAGACTGACACGTTAACTAAATTCTGAATGCTAGAAACTTTTATAATAAATTATAGTGCCATATAAATTAGTGTTTTAAGATATAAAGTGTGGGTTTACCTTACGACCCGTTATAAAATGCTGAAATGCTAGAAGCTTTACATAATAAATTGTATTGCCAATAGCGTTTTAAGATATAAAAGCTGAATTGTGGCTTTCACCTTACGACCCCTGGTTACACATGTTTTTGTTTTTTTATTCGCCCACATTCTAATGGGAAGGTATAATGTCGTAGCCCATGGCTATGGAAGCGTATAGGAGCAGGGTCTGAAAATAATGGTTGCCAGGAGACAAAGGGGGCCCACCCACCAATATAATTCTATCATTTAATTTTTAAAATGAATAAATTAAATTTTCAAAAAATATGTAAGTGGGGACAAAAAGATGTAATTAGAATTTTCAAGCTAATAATTATTTTCTAATATTTATATATTTTTTGATAATTTATATTTTAAATATATTGTCTAATGTCTTAGGGGGCCCACCAAAAATTACGTTTTTAGCTTGTTAACCCTCTAGATGTTACAATTTTTATTTGGCATGTTTTAAAGTGATGAAACCGGGTTTCAATACGATTAACTAAATGACCCACGAAAGCACGAACAAACAGCACAAACTTTATCTTGGTTGGTCACTTCACAAGGACGACCAGACCATCTTCACTGAACTATACGAAGATGCTTCAGCGTGGATTGAATCTAACCGTTGCAACAGAAGTCAACAATGGTTAACACAACCCTTGGATCGAAAATTCCACTTTCTGTTGGTGTCCCACAAGGGTAAGTTTTTGGCCCTTTGCTCTTCTTGCTGTACCATCTCCCGCTTAGTCCAATTATACAGAAACATGGCGTTAACAATCATGGTTTTGCTGATGACACTCAGCAAGTTGCACAAAATAGCGCTGCAAGACTAGTGACTAAAACACCGAGACGTGAACACATCAGTAACAAAGTAAAGGAATTGCTGCCAGTTAGAGCGCGAATTGAATATAAAATCCTTACAACTTTATTTTAAAGTCTCGTCTCCATATCCGCTCACAGCTATATAAAATGAAATGAAATGGGGTTTAACGTCCTATTGGTCTGCTCCTAGCTATAGAAAACTGATGTTTATACTGTATAGTGATGTACAGATACGCCGCGATCTCAGATCCCCGAACGATAAAACATTACTATCTGTACCCATATATAATAAGCTATGTGGAATATATTCGTTTCCGGTTAATGGTGCAATTTCTGGAATGATCTTCCAAAACTAATACGGGACCTACCTACATTTACAGAATTTAAATCTGCTTTAAAAACTTATCTATTTAATAAGGTGTACTAGTGGTGTGATCTCGTATATTCAATACACAGAAGGAAAAATACCGATGACCCCAATGCTTCAAGTCAAATATGAAAAAGAACCATCAAAAACTAGGACCTTTATCGCGTTCACAAGGTTTTTCGGAAAAGAGGGTATAGTTCGGTAAACGGATTTCGGCAAAGGGTGATAACTCTGAAACGGAAAGTATGTTAAAAACTGTAGCATTTATCGAGTTCACAAGGTTTTCAACAAAAGGTGGATTACTCCGGAACGGTTCTTACGAACTTTGAAAACAATCTGTTAAGATAGTAGCTAACTCGTCCGGGCAGTCAACAAGCGTTGTCACATATTTTTACTTTTTTCGGTAATGAAACATTTATAATACATTAAAACCTGATTAAGAGTAACAACTCATTAAGTAATTATCAGAAAACCATTAGAATTTGTTTGGTTTTTATAAAGTTTTGCCCCATGCTAACGTTTAGTATAGGAAACTTTTAACATCATGGATTTAGCTGTTCAAGTCATAAAAATTCATTGAAAATCAATATACTTGTTTGTCTCAAGACCTTACACTCTGTGTATGAATCGGAAGTCAATCGGATGATAACTTTAGCTTCTAGAGGGTCACAAGGTTTTTAAAAGTGATCAAGGGCCATAACTTTGGCAGTAATTATCGGAAATTGTTGAAAATCAATACGATTCTTCGTCTCATGACCTCAAACACTATGTATCAATTTAAAATCAATCGGATATTAACTTTAGCCTCTAGAGCATTTACAAGATTTTTTGAAGTGATCAAGGGCCATAACTCTGGCAGTAATTATCGAAAATCGCTGTAAATGAATAAAATTCTTCGTCTCATGACCTTAAACACTGTGTATAAATTTAAACTCAATCGGATATTAACTTTAGCCTCTAGAGCGTCCACAAGATTTTTCAAAGTGATCAAGGGTCATAACTCTGGCAGTAATTATCCGAAATCGCTGAAAATCAATAGGCTTCTTCGTCTAATGACCTTTAACACTGTGTATAAATTTAAAGCCTCGAGAGCATTTACAAGATTTTTTGAAGTGATCAAGGGCCATAACTCTGGCAGTAATTATCGAAAATGGCTGAAAATGAATAAACTTCTTCGTCTCATGACCTTAAACACTGTGTATAAATTTAAACTCAATCGGATATTAACTTTGACCTCTAGAGCGTTCATAAGATTTTTTGAAGTGATCAAGGGCCATAACTCTGGCAGTAATTATCAGAAATCGCTGAAAATCAATAGGCTTCTTCGTCTCATGACCTTAAACACAGTGTATAAATTTAAAGTCAATCGGACGGACGGGGGCGACGACAATATACGACCACATTTCAATGTGGGCGTATAAAATACTATATCCCCTATTGTGTTCACAAGGTTTTTGACAAAGGTGGGGACCAAACGTCGCATAATGTTGAATATCGACAGGGTTCGTCCTCTGAGTACAATGCTGCTTTACAAGAAATTTGAAAAGAATCCGTAAAAACCGTAGCCTATCGCGTTGACAAGCCGGTATATTAAAAACTGTAGCTTATATCTCATTCCCGGAAAGTCGTGTAAAGATGAAAATCGATAGGGTTCATCCAATCACTCAAAATGTTATAAGAATCCATCAAAAACTACAGCCTCTATCGTTTTTACAAGGTTTTCGGCAAAGGATATCTCCGGAACGGAAAGTCGCAAAACGCGGAAACCCGCTACGGTTTGTCATCGCATGACTACCATGTTTTACACCAAATTTGAAAAGAATCCGTCAAAAATTGTAGCCTCTATCGCGTTCACAAGTCAATTGTTAACGGACTATCGAATCGACAAATCGATAAAACCACGGACACGCTGAATTATGGACGTATAAAAATGATCTATTCCATTTGTCCCTTCTGTGTATTTAAGGGTATGCTTAGATAAATAATATATACATTTCAGAAAGTACGTTTTTTTACCTAATTAGTTGTTATTTACACCTAAATAATTAGTTGTTTACTGTTAGATGTATTGGGGAAAAGATAAAAAGAAATGTCTAGTTTGCAAAAATCAATCTTTCCCCTTTATGCACTGTGGACTGACGTCTTTGAAGAGGCACTTTTCTCAATCGGTGAACATTTATTGCTCGGTAAACAAATGGATTGCAATAGAAAGCAGATAGTTCAATGAGTGTTTTGTTTGATTAAAATTACAGACTATTTGCAAAATAATATACCAAAGAATGTAATTATTTTCAACAGCACTGCTACAGTAATACACATTGGAAATGAAATGAAATGGGGTTTAACGTCCTACTGTTCCGCTCCGAACGGGGCTAATGAAGACGGGCATACGCCTCAGTGTGCTATGAGGGAAAATTGCCCGGACAGCGGCACTACGACCTACTCTTATATCAAATCCCAACGTCAATTGATCTTTTACGTGCACGCCAATTTGTACACGGGACCTCGGTTTTTCGTCCCACCCGGGCGACTAGACAGCTGTCCTTGTCAGGTCCTTCGTCCTGCATCTCTAACAAGGGGGAACCACGCCGGAAAAATTCACATTGGTATTTTTGTATAGATGTGTAGGTTGTGGGTATAACACAATGTGCGACAAAAACTATAACACGCGGGATCGAGATCTAAGGGTTGGGAAGGGTTGTTTTGGCAGGTCAATCAATGCGAAGGTCATAATAATCAAAACAAAATAATGTCTTCTGAACAATTCTACCTTAAAAAGCCCTGGATCCGCGCTTGAAACTATAAATATATGTTGGTAATACCCAATTAACCACAGCATTGAATTATATTTTGGACCATTTGCTGTAACTTGAAACACATTCTTTAATGTCGTTTATATGTAAATGATTTCTAGTATTTAAAAAAAAGATAGTGGGCGGAAAGTACACAAGCTAATACAAGACAATAAAATTTTAATGGCCTAAAACATGATGTATATTACAATACAATATCGTATGTTAAATAGAAACTACAATCTACATGTGCATATAATATATACGTATTTTCAAAAAGACTATTATATTATATAGAAATATAGATTTATATATTCATTTCTTGACCATGAAGAAGATCACGTCATAAACTGAGATAAGCGTTCAAGGTATTATATGCACCAGTAAGGTAATTATAAAACAAATCAATCAACAATGATAAACCGTTCAAATTTTACAGATTTTTCTCATCATATTTAGCTAACAAGTCATAAAGCAATGATATTATGCGTTATAGATAATATTTTTTCCTACTCGAGCGGTTAGAGAATTTGATTTTTGATTATAATGCCCCGGGTTGGAATCCCGATGTGGGCCGAGAAGGATCTTCGGAAATTTTCAAGTTCTTTTCTCGTCGACAGTACTAAAAACTTCAAGGATAAACTGACGTCCCTTGATGTGCATATTGGCGTGCACGAAAATAGAACCGTGCAAGCTGGAATAGTGCAGCAACACACCGCTGTCTCTCCTCACATTACACACATGACAATTGAAAATAGTATTGTGTAGGGAGGAAATCTGATAAAGATAGCATCTTGGTAGAATTTGAAAGTTTTAACAAATACTTTCTTTAAAGCATAAAATATCATTGAAATACTGCATCGACATGCGAGTTCATGACGTGGCTATAAATATATATTTTCTGTAAAAAAAATTAAAGGATCCCATGAACGACCACTTCTTAACATTGAATTCTTAATTAAAATAATCTATATAGAGTAATTAAACAGAAGTATTCTTAATAATCAAGCAAGTAAATGCCATATAAAGACTAATATAAAAATTTAAAATGTGCTACAACAATTCAACTCCAAAGCATGATTGTTTTTATATTAAAAAGTAATGAATCTATCTAAACTATTAAAATATACAGAATAACAAAAACCTAATACAAAAATTGCAACACAGTATCTATAGGGGATATACTAATATACATTTATAAATAATGAATACATATATTGAGATAGTTTAAATTGAAAACATATAGAAATATTTTTTAAAAAAAATGGAAGCTCCGAACATTATCACATATACATTATATTATATATTTAAAACGACATACATATCACATTAATCATAAACTCTGTGTGTGTTTTTTTTTTTACAGAAACTCTTTCAAAGTCATTCAGTGCTAAAGTAAGCTTTAGAGAACGCCTTCCGAATCAGTTCAGTACACCGGATTACATATTCTAATACGAAACTATCGCTTCCTAATATATCAGTCGAATACGAAACTGTCGATTTCTAACCCTCCATTCTTATATGTAGCAAACTCTTCCTAATGTTTTCCCATACTTTAGTAGTACAAAACGAGCGTATTAAATTAATGAACTATACTGCAGATCATTATCTAGTCTTTGTCCACACAAGCTTTCGGTGTAACTTACACATTCCTGTTTTTTTCTATTAAGACATATCAAATCTGGCTACTGAAAGTCAATTGGACTATGATTCGGACTTGCAAGACTGACAGCACATCTTTTTGTAGTAACTATATCTACACAATCTGGCCTTTGTCACTAATGAACACTGAGAAAAACTATCCTTACAGTTATCATCTGAAAATAATTGGAAAAATAGAGAATAATATAAAAACAAACTGAAGAATATTTCGGTAACGATTCCACCACCTTATGTATAAAACCGGTAATTATTTACCCTTATTTTGAACGAATGGTCATTTTTGTTGACTATTTGGAGCAGAATCGAAGAAGCACGTTTGAAGTCACACAACTTTTTATACGCCCACAATTTTATGTGGACGTATTATACCGTCGCCCCTGTCCGTCCACAATTTGTTTGTGGACAATCTACAGGTCACAATTTTTATCCGATTCTGACGAAACTTGACATATAGGTCTATCTCCCAAAGATCTCGGTTTCTTTCGATATTGCCATGTATCGGACCATAAATTCGTGGATTATGGCACCTGATTGTACGAAAAATCACGTTTTTATTTTGTGGACACTGTAGAGGTCACAATTTTCATCCGATTGTGATGAAACTTAAAATGCACGTTTATATCCCAAAGATCTTGGTTCCTTTCTATATTCGCACATATCGGAACGTAACTTCTTGAATTATGGCCCCTGATTGTACGAAAAGTCGCGTTTTTAGCTTGGGCTCCCTCTAGAGATCACAACTATTATCCGATTTAAAAAAATAACCGTTCGAATATATCACCGTTACACCGTAATGTTTGTTGAGTTCGAATTTCGTGAAAATCGGGCCAAAACTGCCGGACAAAATGGACGCCCTCGTACGCAGATAGTGTAAACATCTGGTAAATCAAGGTTGTGGACCCTCTAGAAGTCACAAATTTGATCCGATTTCGATGAAACTTGAAATACATGTTTATAACCCAAAGATATTGGTTCCTTTCGATATTCGCGCATATCGGATCGTAACTTCCTGAATTATGGCCCTTGATTGGACTAGAAATCACGTTTTTAGCTTGTGGTCCCTGTAAAGGTCACAATTTTTATCTGATTTAAAAAAAAACGTGTGAATATATCACCATTACACACTAAGATATTGGTTCCTTTTGATAATCGCAGATACCCGAACTTAACTTCCTGGATTATGACCCCTGATTATTCAAAAAATCGCATTTTTATTTTGCGGATTCTCTAGATTTTAAAAACCGTTTAAATTCGAATTTCTGGAAAATCGAAATGAAACAGCCCGACAAAATGGCCGCTCTTTGTACGCAAATTGTGTAGAAGTGTGTAATATGAAGGTTGTGGGGCCTCTAGAGGTCACAATTTTTATCCGATTTTGATGAAACTTAAAACATATCTTTATATCCCAAAGATCTGTCCCTTTTGATATTTGCACATTCCAGGCCATAACTTTCTGGATTATTGCCCCTGATTGTACAAAAAATCGCGTTTGTTTTTAGCTTGTTCACTATCCATCTCTTGCAAAATGTGGGCGTATCCTGCCTGGCAGCCGCTGGTTTACTTGTTTAAATATATCACCGTTACACATCAATGATAGACCAGAGGCTCAGCGCGAGGGGGGGGGGGGGGGTCCATCAAATGGGCACAAAACCAGACCCAACTTTTCTAGAGTAAAATTTTGCGTAGAATACGATGCCGAGTGGTAATCCGTCCGCCGTTGGGGCGTTTTCGAGATATTCGGGGTCAAAGGTCAAATGAGTTCATTTGCACTGAAAGTGAATGCGCAGTTATTCTTGTATTATGAAAAGAAGCTGAAAATGATCGAAAGTAATCACACTTTCAATAAAAATGTAAACTTGCTAAAATTATCTTTAGTCTTAGTGACCCTGTAGGTCAAAAGGTGAAATTTGCCGTTTTTGCACTAGGAAAATTTAAAGCAATCAAATGTCAACATAAAATATAAAGACTAAAGCGAAACCTGTTCTAATTAATAATAGGAACATTTAAAATTAAGCACCGAACTTTTACTTTGGAACGTCGAAAATGATCTTGCATAACAGAACCAACACATTTTGAAACCTGTTTAAAAAATACGTAAAAACTCTCAAATCGAAATCTCTCCGATTTATTTTCACAAGGATTGTTATGCATAATGATACTAGTTATCTGGAAAAATAATTGAATAGTTTCAGTGTTGGACTCCAGCCTGCAGGCCGCGTGGAATTCCGGGAATCCCAGTCTAGGAAAACCGACGTTAATTTGTGACGGGAAAACACCTATCTGACGACGAGATTAAAAGTTTGCAAATTTTTATGAGTTTTTACGAATTTCGCCAGAACATGGACGAATGCATTGTACATAGTAGTTCACAGGATATATATGTCGCATTGGTGAATGTTAGCGGGGTAAATTTTGGCAGGCTTTGTGACGCGGCCTGCAGGCTGGAGTCCAGCCATGCAACTATTCAATTGTTTTTTTTAGACAACTATTATCATTATGTATAGCATTCGTTTTAAAAGTAATTCGGAGAGATTCTGATTTAACAGTGTTTACGTATTTTTGAAATAGGTTCCGAAGCGTTTTGGTTCTGTTACGCAAGATCATTTTCGACGTTTCAAAGTAAAAGTTCGGGGCTAAGACCACCTAATAATAAATTTTAAATGTTCCTATTATTAATTAGAACAGGTTTCGCTTTAGTTTTTATATTTTACGCTGACATTTATTACTTTAAATCTTCCTAGTGCTAAAACGGAAAATGTGACCTTTTGACCTCTGGAGTCACAAAGAACAAAGGTGAATTTAGCAAGTTTACATTGTTTTTGGAAAGTGGATTACTTTCGATTATTTTTAGCTTATTTTCATGATACAAGAATGACTGCGCATTCAGTTTCAGTGCAAATGAACCCATTTGACCTGTGACCCCGAATATCTTGAAAACGCCCCAACGGCGGACTGATTACCACTCGGTATCGTATTCTACGCAAAATTTTTACTCTGGTTTTGGGCCCATTTGATGGACACCCCCGCACTGAGCCACCAGACTATGAAGGTTGAGTTCGAATTTCGTAAAAATCTGACTGACACTGCCAGACAAACTAACCAAACGCAAATAGTGTAAAGGTATGTAATACCAAGGTTGTGGACACTCTAGAAGTCACAATTTTTATATATATATCTTTATATCCCAAAGATCTCGCTTCCTTTCGCTATTTGCGCATGTCAGACCGTACCTTCCTGGATTATGGCCCCTGACTGTACGAAAATTCTTGTTTTTGAGCTTGTCGCTTCTGTAGAGGTCACAATTTTTTTATCCGATTGAAAAAATCGTTTAAATATATCACCTTTCCACCATAATGAAGGTTGAATTCGAATTTCGGGAAAATCGAAATGAAACTGCCCGACAAAATGGCCGCTTTTTGTACGCAAATTGTGTAAAAGTATGTCACACGAAGGTTCTAGACCCTCTAGAGGTCACAGTTTCCATCCGATTTTGATAAAAACTTAAAATATGTCTTTATATCCAAAAGATCTCATTCCCTTTTGATATTTGCGCATTTCAGATCATAACTTTCTGGATTATGGCCCCTGACTGTACGAAAAATCGCATTTGTTTTTAACTTGTTCTCTATCCATCTCTTGAAAAATGTGGGCGTATCCTGCCGGGCAACCGCTTGTTGTCACATTTTTGTTGATTAATCATGAAGGCAGAAGAATCGGCAGGTAAATTGGGAAACCACTTCGCAAATGGCGTCACAGGGAGACCCTCCAAACTGGAGAAAAAATCCGATTATTGCTTTTTTTTGTAAGGAGGTATATAAATAGTACTCAAAGAAATAATCCCCCGCATTCCACCTTGGGCAATTTTTTTATGGACGGGTGGTTGGGTTTGTAATGTCCTATAAACTGAAGTCTGTATCATAAGATCTGAATCCCCGGTTGTACGTGGCAAGGAGTAAGGTCGCCTGTCCAACCTCGTGGGTTTTCTCCTGATTCTCCAGTTTCCTCCTACTGCTAAAGACCCCTACGCGCAAGCCTCGTGGGTTTTCTCCGGGTCCCCCAGGTTCCTCCCACTGCTAAAGACCCCTACGCGCAAGCGAATTATTGAAATAAAACTGAACCATGTGTTAGTCCCAGAATGACCTAGTTTGTGTCAAGTGAACGTTAAACTCCATTTCTCTCTCTCTCTCTCTTTCCTCGAACAATGACATCGTGAAAGGGAAGACTGTTGTCTCTTTCCTATGTGCTCCCATGGTGAACTTAATTTTATTATTGGAGTCAAGTGATAATAATAAGGTGGGCTGTTTTGTAGTAGACATAGTCTCGTCAGCACACATGTAACTTGACTTTTGGTGACTTTTGATGGTGGCAGACCAGTTAAGGGATTTGGGGTGTTTAGGGTGTTTGGTTTGATGAGCAGAAATGAGGTCTTTCGTTACCCGTGTGTAGGTTCATTGGGTGTTGACATTGCTGACGTAGACAGGACTGGTTTATCCATTATTACAGCTGCCTTCTCTTTGTCCACTGGTACTGTGGTTATGGTCCTGTCTTCCTTAAGTTTTTTTAGGTCTTCATGTTCTCCTTTGGTGTGGTTGTTGCGTTGGTTTGGGGATTTGTTGATGATATTGCAGATTTGGTGTCGTAGATAGTCGACTATACCCCCTGGTGCTGAGTCTCTTCTCAATACTGGCGAAATAATCATCATGATTCTTCGGTTTGGTTTTGGGTACAAACTTGAGTTTGTGTGATAGGAGAGAAATCGAGTCACCCGTGAGGAGGGTACGCTGGCTAAGATTGATAACAGTTTTGGTAATATATTCATTCTGAGATGTTTTTAGCAGGTGCTTAGTTGTTGAGTTTTAGTTGGTTGGTCTTACTGGTTTGATAGCTTAGTTTGGCATTGGTTTCAATCTGTTGCGAAGAACGCTATATGTATCAGAAAGTAATGTGAAGGCGAGCTGGTGAAGCTGGATTTCAGATAATTTGAAGATACACTGTATTTCATTCCTTAATAACGACGAGAGAATCCACTTCGAAACGTCGCCAGAAACAAACATCTTAGTAACCTGTGATTTATAAGTGACATGTCTGAAATTTTCCGTATAAGGTAATTCAAGCAGTTAACAAGACGTCCTCTCCTGGATCAGAATTGGATTCTTCTGTCCATGGTTCATGATCAGAATCATTATGGTCATCAGGAGTTGCAGTGTCATGATCAGATAAAGTGTAACAGTGAGCGTGGTCATACAATAGTTGTTAGGAACGGTCAGATTTACAGATTGTAAGCTCCGCATGACAGTTGTACTTCACGACGGAACATGCTTGGGAGTGGCTATTTATAATTGGTTGGGATATTTTTATGGTTTTCAGATACATTTTATACGTTAGTCATGTGGTAATGTACATTAACTTTTGGAGCAATTATATTTCTGCCTGGGGAACCCCACCACTAAAAAAGTCTGGCCATTGTCATTCTTATGCTGAGCATTTTGCAACAAGTTCCGTGTGGTCACTAAATGGGTTCATCTAGTTTAGCCTTTGGTGTGGGGCAATTTGGAACGTCTGCATGGGATGGCAGGAAGATTTACCCAATACTGCCCAATATAATCGAAGTATTATGTTAGTATTTCACAATAATGGGGTAGTATTTAGTTAGTATTGGGTGATATTGGGTAAATCATTCCTACCCGGCGGAGATACCCCACCACTGAAAATGTCTGGCGGTGGTCGATCTTGATGCATGTGAATATCCTGAACATTTTGTTGTTAGTAAATGAGCTGGGGGAAACTAGGGACGCCTGACGAGTTTAACCCACCACTGAAAATATCTGGCAGTTGTCACTGTTGATGCATGTGAAGTTTATGCAAGAGATTTCATGCAGTTAGAAAGTGCGCTGGTAGGGGCTGGTGGGGGGGGGGCAATTATGGACGTCTTGACAATTAGAATTATTTCTCCACGTGGGAATTTACTCAGGTCTGATGGTAGTGATTTTTTTCGAAGGTCTAATACCGGAAAAGCATTTATGATGCACAAATATATACTATTCAAAAAAAGTAGGGGATATTTGATTTTTAAGTGTTATTAAAGTCACCTAATGAAACTGACGAAGAAACAAATGACAAAATGAAATGAAGTTCACATTCATCGATTTATTCCAAATGATCGTTAGACTAAGTAAGGCACAGACTGGCCATTATAAGGGTAAAATGATACCCGGGGTCAAACAGCAAAGTTACCACAGCATCACAACCAAGTCAGTAACGGGTAAATCCTCCTCTGTTTGCCAAACAAGCATTGATCCGACGTGGCATACTCCTAATGAGACGTCTAAGGTCATTTTGGTCCAGATTGTCCCATTCCTGTTGCAACGCAGCAGCAAGTTCTTAGACATTGGCAGGACGTTGTTGACGTTGACGTAACCTCTGTCCAAGCATGTCCCAGACATGCTCGATGGGGGAGAGGTCGGGACTCAGTGCTGGCCAAGGTATTGTGGTGATGTTCTGTTGTTGGAGGTAACCTGTAACGATCCTGGCCCTGTGACATCTTGCGTTGTCATCCTGGAAGATGAAACGGCGGCCATGACGTCGTGCGAAGGGCACAACATGGACTGCCAAGATGTTGTCCCGGTAGTACTGGCCTGTAACACGCCCTGCAACAACATGTAAAGCCGTTCTTCCAGCAACAGTGATGCCTCCCCACACCATAACAGAACCACCCCCAAACCGATCATGTCTGATGACGTTAACGTCTTGGAAGCGCTCGTTTCGACGACGCCACACCCTCCTACGTCTGTCCAAAAAATCAACAGTGAACCTTGACTCATCTGAAAACATTACATTGCTCCAGCGTCGATTATCCCAGTGTTGACGATCCCTACACCAACGACGTCTTGCCTGAATGTGATGATCTCTCAAACAAGGGATCACGCGAGGACGTCGGGCGCGAAGGTGACCCCTATGCAGTCGATTCCGAATCGTCTGGCCACTCACTCTCACACCAGTGTCTGTTTGAAGACGAGCGCTGATCTGATTTGCTGTGATGACACGATTTCTCAAGGCCAAGGTAGGATAAATCGATCCTGGGCTTGAGTTGTCGCCCTTGGTCGACCTGAGCGTGGTCTGTCCTGCGCAGATTGTGTATCACGGTATCTGGACCATAGCCTGCTTATGACAGACTGAGAAACATTCATCGTCCGCGCCACAACCGCCTGTGTTGTGCCGATCTGTAGCATGCCAAGGGCACGTAACCTTTCATTTTGGGTAAGCCGACGCATATCAAAATTTGTTTTCTGGTCACTAAAACAAATTTAACTGATGTTTCCACCCTGGAATTCAATGCCACAATGACTGTAACATTCAAAGTCAGAGTCGTGCAAATCTTGGGTTGGACCCCCATGATGATCCCAAGCATCACCTGCATTCCATGCGGTAGCTATTGGTGCGTTTGGGCGTCACATGTAACTGGAAATGTTTCTTCTGTTAGGTTCTATAGTGACTTTTTTCGTAGTCATTTGCATATTTTAGTATTATGCCCCCAAAATCAAATATCCCCTACTTTTTTTGAATAGTATATTCTAAAGTTAGGCTGCCGGGCAACGAAACATACGCCCACAGCAGCTACATCGTCCGAGCCGTCGACAAGGATTGTCGCATATTTCATACAGATGACATTGTAATTTTAGTCGTTAGAGGGTTCACATGGTTCTAAAAACTAAAATAAAGGCCTTAACTCTGAAAGTAATCTACAGAAATTGTTGTAATTTTCGTTTTACTAATTCAAATACTCGTTCGAACGTTCACAAGATTCAACAAAGTAAAACAAGGGCCATAACTCTAGAAGTAATTGACGGAAATTTGCTGAAATTCAATAGGCTTCTTCGTTTTACTAATTTAAACGACGCATATAAATTTCATACAGATCGGATGATAACTTTTGTCGTTAGAGCATTCATAACGTGCATCCAAGTGAAACAAGGGTCATAACTCAAGGCGTAATTAACGGAAATTGCTGAAATTCAATTGGCTTCTTTGTTTCACTAATTTTAATGATACATATAAATTTCACACAGATCGGATGATAACTTTTGTCGTTAGAGCGTTCACAATGTGCAACAAAGTGAAACAAGGGTCATAACTCCAGAAGTAATTAACGGAAGTTATTGAAATTAAATAGGAATCTTCATCTCACTAATGCAAACGACATATATCAATTTCAAAACATTCAGATGATAAATTTAGTCTGTAGAATGTTCACAAAACATTGTGGGCGTATAAAAATGTGAAGAAAAGTTCTAAAGCGGATTTTAGGTGTCGGATGGGTATGTAAACAGGAGGCCTGCAACTTTGTTTTTGTCAAAGCCGATTTTGGTGGGGGGGGGGGGGTCCTGAAGTTGTACTCATATAGGTCTTATGTCGAGCAATGGGATCAAATTTATATTGAAAATATTTAAAGGTCTGGGTCTGCAATGAGATATTAATATATGGATTACCTCCGCTTTGTTTTAAAGATGGTGTTGTATCACTATCTTCTGCACATTTTCTCGAGTTACAGCTATCTCTAATTCGTGGTTTCTTACTAGTATCACAATTGGCACTGACTTGCTGATTACCATCTAAACATTTAACTTTTCTTGTCTTGACACCTGTATCACAGGTTTTAGAACACTGAAATAGTTCAAATTTCTGGTGAATCGACTAAAAACAATGTCTAATCACTTCATAATAAAAAAATTAGGAAGAATATAAGAATAATCCATGTTTGTTCCGTATAACTCTGGTGTGTTTTCTAGCTTTGTTGGCGTTAAAATCGCGTATTTAATTGGTAGGGACTTACACTTTATTTATAATTCAGAGGGGGGCGAATAATTTAACGTGTGCGCGCTAAATCGCAACGTCTGTCATTGCGTCAAGTGGCAGTGGTTTTGATGCTACGATTGCACAGCTAAGGATCTCTACGCACAAGCGAATTATTGAAATAAAATTGAACCATAATCGCTCATCGGTTAAGAGTACTTCTACGTTGAACGGTTGGGCGGGTATAGTAATATGAATGCTTAATATATTATTGTAATCTCCCCTAATAAATTATATAAATTTCCACACTCTTAGGCATTGGTCAATCGGTAGGGATATCCATAACTTAATCATTAATAAAATATATTTTTATCATTTGAAGCACAGTTAAACTAAACATTATTTATGTTTTATCAATTATCTAGTGTTAATAGTTTTCATGTAATACAATATCATTCGGGATCTAAAATTTAATATTGTATTTTGAATTCATATTTTAATTTATATTTTTCATTTGTAACTCATTTTGGACATGTGGCAGATTAATTGTAAAATTTAATCTGCATCAGGTGTGGGGTGTTGACATAAGATGTAAGATGTAATGGGTTGTACAAACTTGTATACTCGGAGTGTCTATATGATATAAGATTTAGGTTTAACATGATCGACACCTTTTGTCTTGAGCTAAAATGTGTGACTCTTAATAATTAGTTTTCATTGTTCTGATTACTTATGCTATTAACTATGGCGTGCCCTTGCTGACGCGAGAGATATTGCTCCACGATTATAAAAAGCCTAGTTGAGAATTAGGAATGGACAGAGAGACCGGGAGGGAGACCTCTAGAGACCTAGAGGGAATTCGTCCCGGATCTCGGGAGAGGGCCTGCCCTCGACCCCGGGAGTTGGGTCTTCTGCGACCTAGAGGGAACAGCTTTATATAGACGTTATCATATCTAACCCACAATGACGTTCATATGTAGAATTGTACATGTAAATATGTTATCCAGTATTAAAATATCCTTCTAATCAATAAGAGTCATGTGGTTATATTACATAAAAAAAACTGTTTCAATACTTAATGAATTACATATACATAATATCTTACCTCCGACCAGTCTGAAATATACCACTCTGGTTGGCAGTCTTCTAAATCACACGTTTCTAATGAGGACGGTTTCTCAACGTTTTTACAGTTACCCTCACTAACAACTGCTGTCACACCGCCAGGCAAAGTTTTTACACAAACTATCTCACGTAATCGATATGCTGATCCACATGTAGCATTACACTGAAATAAGGCGAGTGTTAATGATATCTAGTGTACCCACTCTTGACAAATAGCTGTATTTATTTATCTATTAACTGTAAGCTAATTTTATTCCACTATCTGAAAGGAATTGTGATTGCCAACACAATATTTCAGCCATTGAGAGATTAAGTTTGCTGGCAATTTTATTTTTACAGTTATGTCCAAAATTTATGAACATCGTTTTATCTCAGATTTCCAGATGTCAATGTCAAGGGTTCTTTTATGTGCACAAAGTATAGTGTAACTGTCGGCGACTGTACATAAACAAAAGGCCTGCATTCAATTAAATAATAATTTGTCCTTAACTCTACGCTATTTCAACAATGTTAAGACAATCTAAACTGGATCTATTTTTATGGCTCTAAATAGCCAATATTACATTATTACCTACAGGGTAATTTTTAAGGTATCTGAAGCAAAGGGAAAGAGGGAGGATAGAGAATAAGTGGAATTTTGGCACCGTAGAGTGGACCTGACTCTTAACTCGGGGGGAGCATTGAGAGTACAACTCGTACTCAGAGAAAGACTGCCACAAAATCGTTCTGCACCATTATTCAAGCGAAGTTCTGGTTGGAAAAAGTAGTTATGTGGTTATCTATCCTTTTATACTCGGAATAGGTATACCATTCTCACATTTACATATTTACTGTTTATATCAGAATTACGGCCCCAGGTCACAACCAAAAGCATTGGGTGTTATATTGTTATTTTACAATTGAAACTGTTTACCTTTCCCCAATTACCAGTAAACCAGTCACCACCACAGGGTGTATCAGCTCGACATGATTTGGACTCTTCCGGTTTGTTCAAGCGATCACATTTATCTTCGGAAACAGCTGAACCATCTGCCCCAGCACAGTGGATTTTTCTTTTTTTCAAACCCTCGCCACACGTTGATGGGCACTGTAAACATAGATATGCCAGATTTAAATATGAACTTCGCGAAAAAAATATCTGTTAGTCTACATCCTTTTGTTCAGTTTTATTTCTTAAAATAAACATAAGCCCGTCAGCTGCATTGTCGTTCACACAAACTTTAAAACTAACTATAATTTTACTCTGTTTGGTCTGTACTGCACAGACACTGCAAGAAATAAACAACAAAATTAATGTCAAATCAAGTGAATGGATCGGGAGGCCAGACGTAAACGTTCACTGCCTACAGCCCCGCTCCTCTATTGATAAGGGTGCGCTATATATAATATATATGGTTATTGTCCATGCTTTTCAAATCTTTTCTCTCATATAGCGATACTGCCGCCAATCCGTATACCTGATATCCTGACTATTCTTTGCAATCAGTGTAAAACAGTTTCTATTATGGCCATGTACTGCTTTCTTGTATCCGAAACCTCCCACTTTTCTCACATATATCAAAAATTAAACAAGCGATTCTGTTTGTTTAATTTAAAGGGGCTTAAAGAAACAATATATTAAATACATAAAAAAAACATCTGTTAAATTTATAGAAACAAAAAAAAAACATCGATACTTTTCATGAAATTGAAACAGGCAACCTAAATAACGAGATGAACGATGGTGAATGGGCTTTATTGAAAATTATTGTTAGAGCCGGGGTACACAATGTTAGAAGTCATAGTCAACAATAAAGGTAGATTAATGACAAAAAATAATTACGACTTAGAAAGACTCTATTGTAATCTACTAGACATTTATAAATCAATATGTATATTTAGCAATTACCGTGAATAAAGGCTGATTAATCGAGGCAAATGATTCTAGCTGACACATATATAATAGCCACTTTTAATAATTTAAATATATTTTAAAAGCACATTTAATGAATTATTCATCAAGAAGCGCTATTAAGTTGTAATATATTTGGGGATTTATCCAATATTAAATTATTAAACAATCAGCTAACTAATAAGAGCTATCAGGGAATGTAAAAGACCATGACTAGCCTGGCGAATCATTACAGAGATGACATCTACCAATCCAAAGAAGAGACACATATTTATAAATGCTGTCTCTATAGATCAACTACCAAACAATATGGGTTTTTTTATTAAATAAAGAGAAGAACTTCAAAATAAACCGTTCCATGGCCTAAGACCGTAAATATTCTAAATATATAGGAAGAATCTTCGGCTCTCCTAATTCTTGTCTACGATATCACTTTAGTGGAAGCAGCCGTTAAAGGACCAAGGTACTACTACCGAAGGTGGAAGAGGACATAAAGCCTTAAGAACGAACGAACGAACGAACTGGCGAATCAGATAGCCATTGCAATTCTTAAGGAGGACATTGTACTTTTTAAGGAGGACATGATATAACGTATTCAGCAGTAGCCGCTCTGACTAGAGCGGGCAGAGTGAGGTTGAGAGAATGAAAGACATTTTATTTTTTTGTTACAGCTAGACCTGTTTTTATATTTGTAATACCATAGCTGATGTAAACTTTGTATCCTGCTTTGAATACAAACATATGTTAAAAAGAACAGTCATTCCTGAGTTTATTTGGAGTGATATTGACATCCTATTGATGTATATGCCAACGTCAAATAATTTAAGTCAATAATCGCAACAGTCAATAATGAAGCCTAAGATTAGAGAAGCTGAAACAGTATACACGCCAGACTAGAGAGCATTGTGTTTCGCGTCGGATTTCGTAAGCCTGTGGTTTAGCTTCCCTATCTATGGAATAAAGTAGCATTATTAAGGGGGGTAATATTTAATATTATTAAAAATAACATTAGTATCAAACATGTGATATATTCTATACATCTATAAAAAGCACTAAACAAAATCTAATGATAATGAGTCTGAATTACAGTAATTTTAGGATTTTTCAATTTTCTATAATATGATCAACTATACAAATGTATCTTATTAACAATACTGTTAGGACCGACACTTGGTCTAATAAAATTTATATCTCCGAAGAACGCGCCGTCGACTAATTCCAAATCAAGATCATACATACCTAATGGCATTGGAAATTTACAAACATGACGGGCCCCATGAACGAGTGCCGTCTATTCTAGTAACAGCTATTCAGATCTGGGGGTCACGGTGGCTAAGTGGGTAAGACGCTGGCTCGCTAATCTAGAGTTCGGGTGTTCGATCCCTGCATTGGCCGAGAAAGTTGTCCAGATTTTCGGGCGTGGGTCCCCCTTGTCAGTGATACAGGACGGAAGGCTTGACAAGGACAGTCGTCTATTCGTTCGGATGGGACGATAAACCGATGTCCCGTGTACACATTATCGTGCACGTAAAAGATCCCTGGACATAAGAGTAGGACGTAGCGCCACTGTCCGGGCAAAATTTCCCTCATAGCACACTGTACGGCGTATGCCAGACTTCATTAGCCCAGTTCGGAGCAAAACAGTAGGACGATAAACACCATTTCATTTTATTTCTATTCAGATCTATACAACTTATGAAATACAGCATAAAGGAACATGTTTTGGTGAATAATGAGAAGGAAGCAGGTAGGGCGATCCTTACTTTGTACTAAATACAATTACTAGTTTATTATTAATATCATCTAATTCCGAAAATCCAAACTGTGGGTTAGAGTAAGACAGTTTTAACAAGCGTTCGCACAAATAGAACGTTATATCTCTACAGACTGGTCTCAGACTGTGTAAAAAAAAATCCAATGTAACCATAGTATAGCCAAATCACCTCAAATTGGCAACAATTTTTACAAACTGTCGAAGATCCCAAAAGCGTTAATGATCATTTATACGTTTTATCCTATCCGTATAGCTTGTCGTAACCCCTTGCAATCCCTTTTAATAATATGTTACCAACCAAGTTTGCTAGTTCATTTATAAGATACATGCTTCTGTAAATTGAGTACAACACTTATGTTCATTTCATCGACGCAACAAAAATAAGGTTGTAATTGATAATAATGCATATGAGGGAAAAAAATATCCATTAAAATAAATCCTGGGCGTAAATAAATCTCCACTAAATACAAAGTTTAACACAATAAATCTATATCGTTTTGTTTATTGTTGTGGATATTAAAAATTAACAGACCTCTTGAAATTCATTTGTGTAAATATTGTTGAAACTTTCTGAAAACTATGGCTTTTATAATCTCATTTACTATTCAATTCTACCACTAAGTAAAAATAGATACAAAATGACGATGTAATGGGTATCATTTGATTCCTTCCATTTGCAACTCACAATGACCGGCACTATAAAATCAAAGCCATTGTAATCTAGGTGCTTATATCACCCTGGCTGGAAGCGGGCGTTAAGCCCTAACAACGAGAGACATCTAGGTGTAAACAGAACGTATTAAGATCTTAGATTTTGTGTGTCCACTTATGAAAGTATTCACATATTCGATGGAAAGTGGTATCGAATACGGATTACTGTCATGTAACAGCAATTGAGAAAGTTGCAGCCCTCCCCCTCCCCGACCTCCCCCACCAAAAAAAAAAACATATAGTAATTATCTATTTATACGCAAGATTCGACAGGGCTTATTTTCATCTATATTCCTGTCAGTAAAGCCTGTAATGTGATATAGCAGGGATTATTCCAATCGTAAGGACGAACCCTGTCGAATATAAATCTTTAACATCATGCCAGCTTTTGAATGCAACCATGCTTGTAATCTTAGTGGGATTATTTTTTTAAAATGGGGAGTATAAGAAAGAACGCTATGTACATTCAGATTTTTGGATTCCAAATTACGAACGCGACCCACAGCATTGTCTTCATATCTACAGTTTAACCTATCTTTGATTTGTAGTGCGGTACAATCTATATTTAGTAGCATAAAATATACACCAACCTCTTGCGGCCATTCAGTAGAAAACCAACCTTTACCACAGGCACCCAAATCACAAAGTTCTTCCACATCTGGTTTTATTTGTGTACATCTATCATCAGTTACTGTATGACCATTATAATTACTACATCTCACATCTCTTCTTCTCATACCTTCACCACAATTAGTAGAACACTAATATAGAAAATCATTATAATTGGTAGAACATTAAATATAGATAATCACTATAACTAGTAACAAAATAAATATAGATAATCATTATAATTAGTAACAAAATAAATAATTAGCAACTAAATAAATATAGATAAGCATTATAATTAGTAGAACACTAAATATATATAATCATTATAATTAGTAGCATATTAGACATAGATAATCATTATAATTAGTAGCATATTAGACATAGATAATCATTATTATTAGTAACATTAAATATGTATACTCATTATAATTAGTAGAACACTAAATATATACTCTTCAAGTAGGGTATATTGAAATGTAAATACCTATGCAGATTGTGATATGATAAATAGTCATGGACACTTGACATGCTTTGAGAGTTTATTCACAGATGAAGAACTTATCGCCCCAACAGAACCACTGAGCTGCATGTGCGACACACAATAGCGCCATACGCGTGGGAGGGGTTCATTGTCAAATTTGACACTTCAAGGAAGGGTTGATGAAAACTGCCGCTTGCTGGTTTATCCTATCCATGTTTGCTTTCCTATCGGTTCTTGCATACGATTTACTGTTTAGCGTATCTTTGCTTTAGTGTGTTATGTTTAATTTGATCGGGAGACGTGTTCGTCGACGTCAACGTCAACCGACAACACTGCAAGAATTGGTCGTGGCACTGCAAGAGAAGTGGGTCAGATTGCCCCAAATCGTGATTGGACGGTTGATTAGGAGCACGCCACGACGAATTGCTGAATGTCTGAGGATTGGTGGAGCAATTACTCATTATTAAGACAAAAATCAAAAACGTCCATTTTCACTTTTGACAGTGTATCTCTTTGCGAGTGAAATGGGGACGTCAGATAAGCCGCCTATATGAACTGTTTATGTTCATGTGTAGGCAATTGGCCTGTTATTAACATACACTGGCTACCCCTAATAAAAACAGCAGTGCATTTCCGCAGTTTTGTATTGTTTCTGAATATCCCCTACTTTTTTTTGAAGAGTATATATAAGCATTGTAATTGGTAGAAACCAAATATAGATAAGCATTATAATTAGTAGAATACTAAATATAGATAAGCATTATAATTATAGCTTAAAGAAGAATAAAATATTCCTATCAGCCTTATACCTTCTAATACTTGCTTGTCCATACACATTCAAATATAGTCTTATCAAAAAACACCAGTCAGCCCTAGCATGAATTACAGCCATCTAAGGTCCCTATTAGATTATATTGATTCAAGACGTCATCTTCTTCGGTATTAGAACCCGTTTTTATCCACGAATGTCGAGGTCACGATGGCATCTAACGTGATAAATTAAACAATTAAATTAACTATTAGCCTTTTGATACACTGGGTCTTTCAGAGTTTTTTTTGTTTTCCTGCAGGACAAAATGTTCCGGTGAGGTGTTTAGTGGCTGTGGTGCCACTTGGAAAACTGACTGTTTCACTTCTGTGGAGTTTATGCAAAGTCAGAAATTACATTTAAAATAGGAAGGCCTAAATGGTCAAATAGTTTTGTCATTGGGCAACTTACTCGAGACCAATTACCAGTACTCCATGTATAGCAAGCGTCAACTTCACATGTTTGTTTGGCATCTGGTTTAAGCTCGTTGACACATCGATCATTTGACATAGTCAGGTTTACAGTTGGTGAAATCCGGGATATACAAATAACAGTCCTAGACTGTATACCAGATCCACAAGTTGTTGAACAGGAACTCCACTCACTCATTTCCCACCTTCAATACAAAAATATTTGAATGTTATTCCCTAAAAGAATTGGTATTCTAAAGCCCACAAGGTCATTGATCGGGGATGAGATCTTACACTGTAGAATGTAGGAATAAAATGTTTCGGTTTAACATAAGTAACGTCCGCTGTATTTGTCCAGTTAAGGACAATCTTACTTCTATCATTATTCCGTAGATGAGTTGAGACAGAACAGAATCCAAAAGAGTATAATATAACATTCACTAATGTAGAGGGTGGCCTCTACGGGTTGTAAAATCTGAAACATTATTTACCTGGCTGGACATGGGCGACTATTACACGTGACAGCTTTAGCTGCAGGTCGTTCTACTTGTTGACAATTCTCATTGGTCACTACAGCCTGAGTCCTTGTATCAACACATACTACTATAGTTTGTTGTAGACCTGGAACCGAGGCATAATACTTTTTAATTTATGTTTTATTACATATTATCATCTTAGTTGAAATTATCTATAACCGATGTAATGTATAAAAAGAGACATATATATGGGTAAATACAATAAACTATTTGTGTATAATTATTTACATATTTTAGAAACTGCAAAAGTATTATATTAAAGGATCTCATTGTTTTGAATTTAAAAGTTGAACAATTTATGTATATCGATGTAAAGCATTTACCTCCGCCACAAGTTGTGGTACAGTCGCTAAATCCAGACATTCGCCACACATACAAACTACCAAGAATCTCGTTATTTTGGCGGTCTGGTAAAGCAATGGCAGAAACTGCATTTGGAATGTCAATCCTGTTCGGAACGATGCTTCTTGAGTAGGAACTAGCCCCCGTTAGTGCTGCATTACTGGATTCTTGATAAGCCGAGTGTCTGGGAATAACAGTGCCATATTGTGGTGGCGGGGGTTGGATAATTGGTTGTCTTAGATTTGGATTTGCTTGATGAAGATCAGTCTGTAGGTACTGCTGATCGTATTTGAGCCCTGGTTTTAAAGGGTCAATGGCTTGATCAAACGGTCCATAATTACTGCCATGAACAGTACTTGGGCTTATAACTTTGTCATAACCTTCGTTATTTTCTCCCACTTCCTCTTCATTGTCGACATCATATTCATGGTTAATCTCTGATTCATCATAATAGTCCTCGTCATCATATTCTTCAACATCGTAGTAGTCCTCGTCACTGTTGTCGCTTTCAGTATAACCATTGTCGGCTTCCTCGATGTTTTCTTTGTTATTTAATTGCATATCGATTCCATCAATATTCAGTTTATCCTGATTAGTCTGAAGAATACTCACGTCCTCAGTTTTGTGCTTGGTATCTTCATGGCTAGTTTTTCCGTATTCATTATTTTCAACATTCATATTATCGTCCTTTAAATTGCCCTCTGTGGTTTCTAATTGTTCATTATTTTCAGAATATCCACTATTTGCAGTACTTGTATCGTCTTCATCCTTATTCCGCTCAGTTAACATATCACCAGAAGAAACTGTTTGATGGTGTGGGTTTTCTCGAGGCGGTTTTCTCATCAAATCAAACACAGCTTGGTATTTGGAATTGGCTCCCAATGTAACAACTGCTTCTGAACTACCGCTGTCGCTGGGACGTTTTCTACTTGTAGGGGGTAAAGTTGTCCTTTCGGTTGTCTTAGAAGCTCGTGTACGATAATGGACAACTATTGGACGTTGAGTGGGTATTGTTGTGGGTGTTGTACTTGTTTCAATGTATTGTCGTTTTTCTGTTGTCTTACGTTCATAAACTGGATTTTGTCGAAATGTTCCAGTCGTTATCTCGCTGTATTTGCTTGTTGTTGGTGTGTTATACAAGTATCTATTTGGACCTGATGTTAAACGAATGTCAACCTTAGGAAGGGCCGTATGTTTATACGGTGGGTGAATTGTCACTCGATCGTATGGTTTTCGGAAATATCCATGTAGGTTATAATTATATCGCCCCTGCGATCGTGTGGTTTCGTCACTGTCCCTCGATACTGGAGAATCTGTAGGATAAACCCGAGGTCTTGGAGTTGGGTAGCGACGTTGAGCAGAGGTGGGATAGTATGGTCTTTGCGGAGCAGCTGTTGGTCGGCGGGTTCGTCTATCGTAGTAACTCTGACGCTGTTGATTGTAATTTTGTTGACGACTGGGAAAGCTACCACTGTTTGCTTGGATATGTTGGTTTGTATTTCTAAATCTCCCTGTGTCATGTATGTTTATTGCTGATGAATGGCGATTATGACTATGTTCACGTCTCCTGTTATCAACGTGGGGTCTGAATCTGTCACGGAAGGTAAAGCTTTGTGAAAACAGTGGGCGCCTTATTCTGGAGAATGAACGAGAGCTTGTATGAGCACTATCGTGTTGTGGCTTGTTGTGGTTAACTGTAAAACTACTTTTATCGTATGATCGGAGGGCTGAAGGCGGAGTCTTTACCCCTACTGATCTCACGGTTTCTTGGGCAGCCCCGGGCTCAGTCAAATGAGTTCTCTCGGCTTGTGAACCCGTTACGCCATCGGGGAAATAGTCAGATCCTTCACTATCATCCATTATGGAGTTTTTGTAGTTTGCTCCCAGCTCAACAGTGTCTATTACTTCCGAACTCTTAGAATCAATCATAGCTTCTTTGACTGACTCCTCGGATCCCTGATCGCTTTGTCTAGAATTTTTATCAACGCCTAATAACCGCGAGGGTTGTTGTGGCTTTTGTTGTTGTTGTTGTTTGGTTACAGACGTTGGACTGGTATCTCCAGTTTCAATTTTGCCATTATTATTCAAATTAACCACCTCTCCCGTTTGTCTTTCCAAAATTCTTTTATAGTAGGGATCACTAACATTAGTTGGTACATTAAAACTATACATTACTCCGGGATTTTTATGATAAGCCAAAATCTGTGAAAATATATTTCAAAACATACGGTTATTAGAGAGGCTAACATATGATCATATGATATATTATTTTTATTTAAAAAATATTCAGTGTAATTACTCCAGGATTTTTATGATAAGCCAAAATCTGTGAAAATATATTTCAAAACATACGGTTATTAGAGAGGCTAACATGTGATCATATGATATATTATTTTTATTTAAAAAAAAATATTCGGTGTAAATCCCCGAAAGTAGGCAGGCGACCCAACTCTTGTCAAGTACAAATATTAGCATCGAACCCAAAATTTGCATAGATAACAGATCGTATGGTCTACAAGACACGCATCAGTCCACTGTATCTTTTAAATTTGATGTTTGGTTCCTTTTGTACTCGAAACATACTACGCACCGCCCCCGCCAGCGTACTAACACACACACACACACACACACCCATACTTCCTAGCACCACCATATCACCACCCCACAACTGTATACCTCAAATTATCAGTTACCTGCAGCTGTATGTTTTCATTAGTTGGTCCAGCGGCATAAATGCACTCTCCACGACAGGACTTAGATCGTTTAGAATATTTGATTGTAGTTCCAGCAGCGTGAAATTCACCAGATGTCGTTATCTTATAATTTCCGTTTATGATGTAAGATCCGTCTTGATTTTTCAAAACTTAAAAGCAACAGAAATCGGAATAAGCTACCGGATGATGGTACAGGTAATAATTCGTCCGTTAAATTTTAAATGGCTGATCAGGTTAGGGTAACTGGCCAGTCTTATTAAAATCATACCAACATTTCATTCCGTTTTTTTTTTAGGTTGTTTACTTCACAAAATCTTTTAAAAGGCTTTGATTATACATTTTGCTAATTAAAGACATCGATTGTGAAAAACGAAGGTTTATTTTACCAATCCTTGTGCTCACGATGAAAAATTACCATGCACATTGAAACATACCTAAATAATTTGTAGATGTTTTTAATTCCGTTATGTTAATGTCTGTACTACCAATAGGAATGTCAATTATTTTATTGTAACCGACGGCTACTTCGTTTTGTGTATAGATACCAGATATAGTTTGACAACTGGAGTTATCCCCCTTGCATACGCCACACTTGTCAACTCCAGTCTGCGATCCAACAACTCCGTCACATCCAACATCCTGGAATAATATAATTAAATACCAGTGACTCTTCCCATAGCATATGTCTTGATATAGTTCCTTTAGAAACTGTCTCTGATCGATCGATGTCCGTTGACAGTTCCTATCCCGTCCTATATAGCTGCAATATGAAAATATCGCTCATCCCCACCTCTGGTCTAATGCTATTTTGGAATCTTTATCGACTATTTTTTACCGTGGTTCATCTGTGTTTGCCAAAGGAATCATTGCTTGCCACGGCTGACACACATTTATGATAATTTAACACTATTTTCAAGTAGAATTTTGCGATTAAAAACATACACAAAATACGTTTGAACTGATCCGCCATTACGAGACTCGAACATGCGCAGTGTTGAAATGTTATAAATTTGTGTCAGATATGTTGAGAAATGATTCCTTTTACGAAAAATAAAGAATCACGGTGAAAAATAGAAGATAAAAGTTCCAAAATAGCCCGAGAACAGAGGTGGTGAAGAGTGGTATTTTACCATATTTTCATATTGCTGCTATATAGGAAGGGATAGGAAATGTAGTCTTGATATACTTAACGAAAATGACAAAAGACCAACATTTTGGTAGTACCGGTGTGATAGTTTGAGTTGACTCCTGGTGTGTGTTTTCTCCTGGGCACTTGCGCATGTCCGAAACTGATGTTTGCCTTAACAACGAAACTATATCTAGTTCCTGCGGTGCGAGTTGGTTCCTGGTCAGTACAGGAAAAAGTATATCATGTACTTGATTAGAGTTTTGTCATTAATAAACATACTTGTTATCGTGATTAGCTGTTGTTTTAGTGATGAGTAGTTACACGATCAACGGATCTAAGTTGATTGGCTTGAAATTGATACTTCTCTCGTTCGTGATTTGTTGCCGTTGTTTTTTTTGTTTTTTTTAGTGATTAGTGGTTCTTCACGCGTATCATCAGTGGAAACCATACAAATTGATGATTGGCTTGAAATTATCAATTAATTCACCTCCAAAGGAAGATTAAGGCCTTTGATATTTCGTGGCTTCATTTATCACAAATATAAAAGTATGGAATTTCTTATTCCGATTTCTTTAACATTTATTATACCGTCCCATACATTCAAACATGCATGTAGACAGCCCAAATACAAGAGAGAATGTTCGCATTGTGGACGGGTATATATACTAAATAATAAAGATCGTCAATTTGCATCCTCTCTTGGTGGTAATACTGTAAATATCGGTACATAATAGTCTATATATTGATTTGACCGTAAGAAAATCTTAGGGGAAATCCTATCACGAGGAGTCAATGCACACCGCGACTGTAACGGTGTGAGTTGACTCCTACAACTGCGCATGCGCCAAACGGTAATCACACACCAGGAACCATCTGAAACTGTCACACCGGGAGCGTGGAGGGCATGGTGTGAGTATGTTCCTTTCGGAACGGTCTCTCACGGACAAAGTCCTCTGACAGTTCCTATTAGGATAAAATATGAAAATACCACTCTATAGACCCTACCATGCCTTCTATTTTTCACCGTAATTCGTCTTTGTCCGTGAAAAGGAATCATAAACAAAATACGTTTAATTTGGTCCGCCATCACGGCGCCGCATGATTTTTTTCTTTTTTTAATCGCAAAATTCTACTTGAAAATACTTTTGGATTATTATAAACTTTTGTCGAGTGTGGTGAATTACGGTGAAAAATAGAAGGTAAGGACTCAAATATAGCCCTAGAACAGAGCTAGGTGGGATAGAGTGTTATTTCGTTCGTATTCGTGAGTCTGTATGGTACTGACTCTCTACCGTACCAGGGGGTCTCCAGGTTCGATCCTCGTACTGGTCGAGAAAATTCTTAGGCCTGGTAAGCAAAATGTGTTTAGTCTTTCGCAGGGACGAAAAATCGAGGCCCACGGCCGTGTATTCTTTGGCGTCCACATAAAATAATGAGTTGCAATTCGATGAAGAGTAGACGGAAACACCACTGTCTGTTCAAATTTCCACTCACAGCACACTGTTGGTTGTTCAAACCATCAGTCTATACATGACAAGAAAAGCTATATTTTGCATTAGAATTATAGGACCTATCCAAATTTAATAGTTTGAAATATATACCAACCACACACTGTCCACGAATACAAACAGCTAGTTTCTTTAAACTACATTCAGTGCCATCGGTAACTCGTTCAGACAGACGAGCATAAAAACTCTGTCCATCTGGTCGACAAGTCAATTCACATGGTGCCATGGCTGAAATAAACATTGCATACATTAACAAAATTATAATTATGTCGTACTTATTGGATTAAAAAATGTGCGAGATAATACCAACGGCTTCCAACGGTATTCTAGACCAATGTTGTTAAAAGGGGATACTGGGTAGAACTGTTATTGTTTGGTTTTTTTTATATCTGCGGTTCAAAAAGAACATTCGAATGCTGACCCATGAATTACGTAATGACGTCACATGTTTATATTGTATTGTACATGCGTTTACAAACATCATAAGGGGGAAGAAAGACGAATATTTATCACGAATTAGTGAATTTTGATTCTCAAGAAGGTATCTAGAATAGATTTAAATCAAAAGTTTCTGCCTGTCCTGCAGTTTAATAAGTGTTATAATACATATATATACAATTTGTATGTCATTACAATGTTAGACCCTAACATTCAGAACATAAGATCAATTCTAGGGACAATTATAGTAGAACAGCTGTCATAAAACATTCGCAGCCAAAAATATTAGCCATAAGCGGGTACATCCATCTGCAATACAACACATGAATAACATACCTCTAGTACATGTTACCTGGTTATATTTTGATAATATTCTGTACACCAAATATCACCTATCAATAACTCATGATACACTTCAACCTTATCTCATTAGTAATAATATGTGTTAGAAAAGAGGAAATATGCATGTTATGTAAGATATTTGGTGTTATTCTAAGAATTTATTTTATATATTTATGTATATATCTGTTGATTTCTACCAAATGTCAGATTTAATGAAGGCGTTTTATTACCGTTGCTCGATATTACGTGTTACATTTGTGATTATATGCACGTTCTATGTTATTATCATTATGTACAGTCTATGCAATATTGAAATATTAACGCAATATTGAAACTAAACTCTAGTCCCCCTTACACTAGTTACATTTCCTGAGATGTAACTCAGATCTGAAGATGGATTCACTGCCCTCCTCACTGAGAAAATAAATAAACATTTATTTCAAAGAACATCTCCACTTCTTCATAATTATTGTATTTAAGCTGAATTACATTTATTGAACACCTTTCTTATCAATACAACAGTTGTGTATTCAAAGGTTAAAATAATAGAATGCAGCATGTCAATTGCAACTTGGGTATCGATGTGACATGAATGAATGATGATCATTATGAATAAAATATTGTGTAAAACATATAAAATGGTGAAACAATATTACAGTTGAGAGGATACTCAACGAAACGTCGCTTTAAAATTTATGATTGTGTTACATATAATGTTATTGTGTTTATTATATCGTTTGCTAAATCCCGCTCAAGGATTAAAATATTATCGATAAAAGAGATGGTCGTCTGACAGACAATATAAAAGTATTAACTTGTCCCAGCCGTAACTCAGCTTTTTGTTTATTTGATATTTTGTAGTTTTAAAATATCACATGATACGTAGGGTGTTCTATTCCAGCCATATAGCGCGTGATGCTAAAAACATCATCGCCCTCGCATTTTTTTTACTATAAAGTATCGAGGGAAAATACCAAGACCACTTTTAAACACGACGCCACCCTTCAACACGAGTCACGCCACCCTTTGCGTCACGCGTCGCCGTTAATAAACTATACATATGGATTATATGTATATCGGGAAAATCCCACCACCCCACACACCAATAAAATAACAAAACAAACAAACAAGCAAGCAAATGCAACAACATCAAAACAACTAATGAAAATCGCCCCTGCGACCCTGAAATAATATGTTCTAACATAAATAAGTTGGTACTATTTCTTGAATTCTTATCGTTGATTTGTCATCGGACAAAATGAAAGTATAGCCCTATTTCAATGTAGGTGTCAGGCAAGAGTATAAATCGCTTTCTAGAACACCTGATACTACTTGTCGTTTTATTCGGAAAGTCATATATTGCTAGTTCGGGGGGGAGGGGGGGTATTACCAATACAGCGCGAGTGTCGTGTCAATAGGATGTCTTAAAGTTCCCACCTGTGCTTATTATATAGTGAGCATGGGTATATTACGCTTCATACATTGCTTTTGTATAATGCCGGTTACAGGTATATCTGAAAACAAAACCTTTGTTTGACATATTAAAGGAGCTAAATTGCTAATGTTTGGTACCTGGAAATTGACCCAATTGGGTCACAACGCATATAATAATGTAATCTGATTGTATATAAACTGATTTACATTCAATTGTTTCCGTTTTGACTAATTTCAAATCAGTTATCTCCAGCGAAATGTGGCATGAGTCTGAACCGAGTCGCTATTTTAAGCGTCTGGTTATTCCAGTCTATTGCGCATGCTTTCATGGCGTCACGGTTTGACATGAGTTGTGGAATATGTCTAGCCTCTGGTAACTTGTTGCAAATGACACTGAAACACACTATGGTAAACGATTCCTGTACCAATGGTAAAATATTTATTTTATTTTAAATATTGGATATCAGAAGCCTACCTTGTTGATTTGTATTGACAAATAATTCGTGTTTTCAACGTGTAAGACTTTGGATGATATTAAGTTAGAGACTTTAAAGCTTAAACCTTCATACTGTATTCAAATAGAAATGCGTTAAAAGTAGCCACGGGTATGACGTAATCTAATGCATAAATTATGAATTCCATTCATAGAAGGCGACAAGTTGTGTTTTGAAGGGCGACGTCGTATACAAACAGTGACGTCGAATTTCTACCCATAGCTTAACATTGAATGGGGTAACCAGGATACAGCTCGCTAACATTAGCTTAGAATTATTTATCCCAGTTCGTTGCAATGATCTAAAACTCCGTATCGGGGCCTTTGTAGAAGTATAACGGGGTTTTGAACGCTCACCACTATCATTTTGACGCTTTCCGCTTGCATAAGTTGAGAAATGTACCGGATACTCCCATATCAGGAATACCTACTGCTGTCAACCAATTTTTGCATCGTTTTTTTGTTTTTCATTCGACACTTTCAGAAAATGTAATAGACTATTTCTTAACACTTAACATTTGGGCGTTTGATTTATATATTTAAACTTCTTTAGTGTTTATGTTTAACTGTTAATAAATGTTTAAAATTAACAGGCAGATATCAACATTCTATTTTAAATTAATCTAGCTAATAACATATAACATAGGATTGTCATTATTGGTTTTGGTTTGTTTAATACAATTTGAAGTGTATTGTATTCCAAATGTGGATTGCATAATAAAATTAATTGTATTTGCAACTTCTCTGCCCTGTATATGTAGCGTTTTCCGAGTCAATATCAATTTAATGGCCAATTACTTGCCAACTGTAAATATTTGATAGTGTAATGTGGTAATTGAGTTTGCATTAGAACCCAGTAGGTTAAAGATGGATTATGTAAGCGCCAAATCTGCCTATTGCAGGTCTTTTTCAAGACTTCAAATGCTCTATAGCTTGTTCACCAATCATGACTGTGCCCAAGATTACACCTCGTGCACATTAACCGGATCATTTTACCTTTCAGTTCTTGGTCTACCTTTTGTTAGAACGCGTGACACCGCGTTATTATCCAGTGAACCACAAGATCACCATCGTTATCATTGTGAAACCTTGAATATCGTGGGTTGGTGATATTTCCATATAATCTATTCCTACCGTCACACATTCCACGGCATATGTAAAGATAATATACTGACTAGTGCAAATAGTGGTATGTTATAAGTAGTTACATTTGGATATTATTTGCAGTACTCTTAAAGATACATTCCCGGGTACAAACTGGGTGATTTGATGATATATTTGGACTAAAAACATATTCAAACTAATTAAGAATGCGTTTGCGAGAGAACCATGCAGGGACCGGCACATGGTGGGTGACCGATTTTCACCATTTTTTTTATGTATGATGGGTAACCCCTCCAAACTCCACTGCCACAATTTTAGATCAATCGAACCATTTTTAGAGCGTAGAAAAAAATTCGAAATTTTAAGACCGAAAAAAGCCAAAAAATCATCATTTTCAGACCACTTTTCAATTATTTCGTACAACTAAACTACGGCGAGTAGATTAATGAAACTTTATAGCGTAGCAGATATGGTTAGCATGAAAACATTTTGAAAGTTTGATGGATTTTCATGGAGCGGTTTTTGGTACAGGGACTTATTGCTGCAAGGTACCAAAATAGCTCAATTTAGGTATGTCATAAATAAAATAAAACCAAGTACGAACAATCCAAACCATAAGACAGAATTCGAAGTCCTAAAAAACGTTATAGGTTATTCTATCTATATCTCACCCACTGCGGGTTTAAGTATTTTTTTGGAATGCTGACTGAAAAGGCAATGGTCTATAGTATTAAGATCAGGAAAAAAATTGGGTGGCACTCGACCCGTTTAGTAGTAAATAATTTCCATTTTTGTACAAAAATAACGATTTTCAACAAAAATGAAGAAACATAAACCGCTTTATTTATACACTGAAAAGTGTAACATGGCACTTGAAACCAAACTAACGCGGTTTCCAGTTCCATCAACAGCAAGCCATAATAAAAATAGAAATAAACAAATAAATATAAACGCAGATTATATACTTTCATCAAAAAATTCAAGTTTAAAAAATGTTCCATTATCAAAACTACAATTACTTATTTCTATCTATCTAGCGCTATCTATCTATCTATCTAGCACTATCTATCTATCTATCTATCTATCTATCTATCCAACAAGTATCTAATCACGAAAAAACGATGAAGTTTGAAAAGCTTACTTTACTGTAGTAAATGCCAAAAATAAAGAGCTGTTCTTGGTAAATACAATTAATCTCTCTAGACTATTTTTCAACACTTTATTAATTCGGCAATATAATCTCATGATCTAGTAGAAGGATGATGAATGTTTGAACAGCAAATCGTAAAAACTAAATAGTGTACTAGTCATATACATCTGTCTATACTTGACAAACGAATCAAGCGATATTTCAAAAAGACAAAAAACAAATTGTATATGAGCGTAAGGTCACTATTGTAGCATACTCCCCACAGTGTTTCGTTTGATTAGACCTAATCCCACTCAACACTGCCGTAGTGAAAGCAAATTTCTGTTCCAAATTATGATTGGTCAATAGTCCGATTAACAAACAATACCTAACCGCGTAACAATATCATTCTGGTTTAAACAGAGTTTCAAATATGTTAACATAACGTTACGTCATGATTCAATAACCAGTGCATAGCAGAATATTGCAGAAAAACTAATTGCGTGACACACGAGGCTATCAACGTGGCTACAATGTAAACAATACTGTTTGGAGACGAACAATACTTTCACTGTTTTTAATACCTTAAATCACTGTCCAAAGTTTTAGGGAAAACCCCAGATTAAACGAAAGACTTTACTTAGGAGCGATTTGATTAAACGGGAAGAATAGACACACTCCCTTAAAAATGTAAGTATCAGAGGTCAATCCAGCAATGGCCAGAGCGGCATTTCTCTGGCTATTGCTTCAGGGATATGCTATTGTAGTTTCTTTCGGATAACTGGCTACTAAACCGCATTTTATTTGTGCAATGGATGGAAAAATTAACAGCTGATTTCATCCGCCATCTTGGATGCTGGAGTGCAAATCTAACTTCGGCCTGACGAATAATAATAATAATAATAATAATATTAATATGTACATTTATATAGCGCACGTACTCCATGTACAGAATCATGTCCACTGCGCATACAATTAAATTAATTTAATTAATCTTGATAAGTCTTGATGTAAAACAAGAAAGGGTTTGAGATGATTTAATGATCTCTGGAAGATTGTTACGCAGTTTAGACGCATTCACTGAGCACGATCCGTATCCAAATGATATTAATTTTCACTTTGAGCAAGAAAACTGATGAATGTGTTCGGCCGGAGGTTACTCGAGGGAACTTGTATGTGCATAAAGTTAGATAAGTATATTTGAGCTAAACCATTCACACACTGATACGTCAAAGACAGACTTTTGAAGATGATTGGCAGCCAATAGATTGATTTCAGAACAGGAGTAATATAAGAGTGTTTTGATGATCTGGTAAGAATTCGAACTGCGGTATTTTCAACAAGTTGATTTTTTATAATATTGGCACTAGATGTTACTACTAACAATTTACAGTAGTAAATCCTTGGGAATACCAAAGAACGTATAAGTGTAGCAGCTGCTTCCTGGCTAATAAAGTGTTTATATGACCAATGTTCCTGGACCAAAGATAACAGTTTCGACAAATTTCACTAATGTGTTTATCCATGCTCATATTGGACCCCAAAAGGAAACCTAACCTTTTCACAGTGTCTCATGGTACAAATATTGCATCTCATACAACCACATCATTTGAACTTGTATTTTTCAGATGTGTATTTTGACCACGTCATTCTGATTTACTTAATAAATTTAATTTCAACATATTTCTTTTCATCCTATCTTTAATGTCATGTGTACACAATTTGATGTCAGAATAATTAGGGAATGAAACAGTTTTTGAAAGGGAATAACTTGCGATCACCTGTGTATCATCTGCATAAGAATGTCGTCCTAGAAACCATGATTATCGATTAGTTGTCCAACTTCTTAGTAAACATTACAGAAAGGACAGGTCCAAGGACTGATCCTTGTGGAACTCCCGAACCTTCTGTACCGACCCTACAGATGGTTGCTGGAAGGCGGTTGCATGGGGCATTATCAGGCCTAATAATACAGGCAATGAATGATTTTATTGGAAAAATGATGTAAAAAATGAAGTCATTTTCTTCAAGTTCGACCATCAAATTAAATATGAAAGAAATCCGTGCCAGTCATTTTGTCAAAACCAAATATTAGTATTAGTAGTCCTCAACTTCCATTATTAATAGAATTGTCCCCAGTCCCGCAGTGGGTGAGATATAGCATCATGAAATTTTTATGTTTTAGCATATAGCAAAAACTACGTCTCAAAATAAATTCCTCATAGCCTCAAATGGTTTCGGAAAAATTCAATAGTCATATATATTGAAGTAGTAGACATGATCATTCATAAAAAATAATTAAAAAAATTAAAAAATCAATAGACAATTTATGGGAAATATTTGAATTTAGGGGTTATTTTTTAAAAATAATGACGGTTTTTTAACCCTAAAATGGCCATAGCTGGTTCTCCGTAACTACAAGGTTGGTGACCCTCATATTTCGTGTAGTGTATACGGGGTACCTAATGACCAAATCTGCAAAGTTTGGTCAAAATCGCTCGACACCGCTTGTGCCGTTTTTTTTAAATTTTGCATGATTCTCTCGCGAACCCATTCTTAATTTGTCATAATTGTGCTTCAAATCCATCTCAAAACATTGCAATTGCCAGGGAATACACTGGCTATAAAAAAATCCATCAAAAGATGTCATGTTTGTGTCACGTGACTTACCTCTATCTCCCTCGGAGGAGAATAGGGCCGCTAAGTCTCTCGACGATTTCTTAGGTAATCTACTTCCGGTGACATGCATCGAGAAATGGCGGAAAAAATACGATGCTTCGCAAGGCATTGAGTGGGAATCAATGAAGCGTTCTTGGCACCAATTACTTTCATTTTACAAAAGAAAAATAACTGATATTTTAGTTTGTTTATCAATGTATGTAAATCAATTATTTAAACATATATGTTAATAAAATATTTCATATTAATCTCGAAATAGGAGCCCAAGCCTTGGTTTCACAGTTTGAGCCTTTTGCGACAGGTAGCGGTCTGGGTTAGATTTGTTTACAAACAAACCCCATTACTGGTACATTATTCCCCCGCCTTCACATTTAGTGCTGCGTGACATTTACATTTTAATGTCTTGACAGTTATGTAAATTAAAGAATTATTCACATGGGTTGTAATCCCAAGTACCAACAATGCCAACTGTTGTTTTAAAAGAAAAAAAACCCTAAAAAACCTGACTACGTACGCTCATGTATGAAGATCGCCCTTGAATTTTTCGACAAGTTAAAAACTTTACAAGTTTACCATGTGTCTTATTTCAGCAGATTGATGGATTATAATATGACGGTGGGGAAATATTCAAGTTTTTAGCGCAGAGAGGATGGGCGAAAGACGGCCGTAGCACACGTGGAAGGTGTTCTGATTCAAGAATATCAAATAAAGAATATGGTCGAATATTAAAATATTTAATTTTACTTAGGCCTATATTCAGTATAATTTAGTAATTTTTGGGATTTTATGGTTTTAGGTCTTGACAGACCGATCTCGCAGCATTTTCCGAAGATTTTTAAAAATAAAATAATACTAGGCCTCATGAAGATTTTGCATTTTGTGAAGATTTGTAAAGTTTAAATATTAGGCCTCATGATCTAGGCCTACCTATTTTTAAAAAATGATCAGCTCTTTCAAGCGAAGTCGGAGGTGAATTCGTTGCATACACAAGACGATGTTGTCTTTAATCGCCGACTATTTATTACAAATATCGAAGCCTAAATAAATTCTCGGATTATCCACTGCCCGCGTCTTTTTCCGTGATTTTTACCTCAGAAAGTGTTGTACGTCTAACTCTTCATAAAGTTTATCAACATGTACATCAAGTGCTCAATCTCCGCGTGCAACCTTTGACGTCACGTGAGTGTTTTTCAGGGAATCCAGTATTTTTCAAGTAAGATTGGATATTTCTACTTTCCACATATACCAAAATTGCCATACTTTTATTGGAAATAACCACCCGATAAATACTTTTCTAGGAACCTATCTTTAAATTATCATTTATGTACTCTGAATTCAACATTACAGGATAAGACATACAACAGTACCGTTATTTTGTATTGTGTTGGCTCAATTGTAAACTACAAGATTTAATAGCAGTTATCTATCTTTTATTTTCACACGAACATAAATACTAATTTTTACACACGATGAAAGTCGTCACAGGGTAAATATATTTTATCGTTATAACAAAGTAGCGGTAAGATATTGAGTCGCGCATAGTGATCAAGACCGGAAAATATCACAGACGTCTATATCATGGAAAATATCACAGACGTCTGTATCATGGAAAATCTCGTACAAAAGTTTTTTGCCCCTGAATTTGATAATCTCGAATAGGTTCTTAGCTTGGGCCAAGATGAACCTATGGCATATTTCAAGTCCAGTTCTGGTTTATAGAGGATGGCGCCTTCGGATTTTATAAAGGAAAAAATATCTAGTCTATACATTTGCACATAATAGCATTGGAAGTTGTAATTCGGTGATTTTCTGGGCACTGAAACGTGATCATATAAATATATAAATAAAAAATACCGAATCCTAGTCTCAAAGTAAAATGCAGACTTACTTTCCTTCCGTTTCTTTTCGTTTCAAACTACTGTAAGGTTTAATGAGTCGCGTTAAATAATACAATAAAATCTTTAAGATTATGTAAATACATGCCACATGCCCTCATAGATGGCTGTAAGCAATCCAGATCATGGTGTTTGAAAAACCTCTTGATAGTGGCAGGTGGATATATGCCCTAAGATTTCTGACATTTGACCATTCCTGGAGATGGTTGGTATATCACGGTAGACTACAATAACAGTTTTATCAGCATCGACAAATAAAATGTAGTCTATAGAATTTCAAAATAACGTACACAGTACACGACAACTGCAATATCCATTAATTTGCCATCTGTCGATTTAAGTGATTTTTAGAAGATATTAGTATCTGATAGGAACAGGTGCGTTGATTTTCAATTTGATTTGCTTTCAATTTAATAGTACCAATTTCCATTGATCAGAAAACTGCCCTTGCTGAAGATACTGAACGTCCAGCGACGGTCAGATCTGTGATTTAATTCATATGTTTATATACTTACGATTGATGAAGGGTTTCCATATATAGTTTTTCCCAGAGAATATTTTGTGGTTATAACTGGCACATTGTTCTTCTCTAATGCCCAGTATAGAAACCGGACATTTCTAAAAATAGAAAACCACAAAACTTAATGTACGGCTGTGTTGATTTTTTCCCACCCAAGAAGAGTTTAGATGGTGTACAAGTGACGCACCCACTACATGTACTATCTAGTGTTTCTGGTAAAACGTAACATCGGGAAAACTGACATTGTTATTATGATCTTACAAGAAGGGTCTGTGTGCTCCGTCTCCTTAAGCCGTTTTATACAACTTTAAGATCACCTAATTCATGAATGCCAGGAGGCAAACACACTCGAATTTAGTTAAATTGCATGATATTGAAAATATAGATTTACAAGCACGCAAATCTAGCACAGACATTATTAAGACAGTACATAATAAATATAGGTATATCCTACCTGTGTATTACAGACAACTATTTCATGTTTAGGGCCATCACAAATTAATGATTTATCTACTCTCGATCTGAAATGACAGACAAGTTTAAGGATAATTATTTGATAACTTATGTTCATTTCAGAATATCCGTCAATAATGCCCACCGAATTTCAATATGGTTCATCTTAATAACTAGTCGAACGATTCCAGAAAGTTGGAGAATAAATCTAAAAAAAAATAAGACTTACAGATCTTTTATAATGTGTTGGTGACAAGGGAAATGACTCCACGTAAATAGACGTACAGCTTTAAATTTCCTTCTTGCGATTTGCCAACTTACACGTACGTAGCACGTTGGAATAATAGATTTCGTGTAAGCTCTGACCCATGGAGCGTTTAAATACAAGAAATGTGAACAGAGCGACAATATACAATATTAAAATTGGGGTTCAATAATTATATTAAATGAGGCCTGACGTCTTCTTACTAAAGATATAAGAGATTATACAGATTCTATAATACAGGTACATTTAAATGTCGCTTCTAACCCATTGTTATCTTAACTGGCCTGTTCAATTCGATATACTGAACAACCTATTAAAATTTTCGAAAAAGATTTTAAGAAAACATAGTATTTTGTACATTAAATAAGATAGCTTATAGAACCCATGAGAAAATGTTTAATGTATTTTACAGACTGTAATTTAAGAGGTTATGTTACAGTAAGCAGAGGGCGATGATGACGACCCCAGATTGTAAGGGGTATGAATCATTAATTCAAACTATTACAACGTGTTGACACCTCTTTATCAACATCAACACAGACTTACTTATATTACAAACCTTTCTATACACTAGTATATCCATTACAGACTTCCTTATTTTACAAAACTTTATATACACTATTATACACATTTACTCAATAAAGGAACATATTTAATACTGTGTAATGTTTCTTAATATATTGGCTGAATCCTTCCCAAAAAATTAATCTTGTAAATTACAGGAAAGGTAAAATTCCGCTGTGTTTGTTTTCTGCCAAGAAATTGTACGTATGAATATATAAATTGTATTGGTAAATAAGAAATGCCTTAAAAGCCTTGCACTGGCAGTTTACAGATTTATAACCGCGTTTCTTCATGCCGAAGTACCTATATCTTGATTAATGCAAAAAAGCTCTGTCTATATCTACTGTGTATGGATTTCCGGTATTTATATTTGGCACACTTATGCTCCCTCAGTAAAGTGACGCCCTTGGTGTTGAATTTTATTCACGATATAGACCGGGAGCCCAGAGGGTCGAACCGAGAGAGAGAGAGAGAGAGAGAGAGAGATGGGGTTTAACGTCCACTCGACACAAACTAGGTCATTTCGGGACTAACATATGGTTTAATTTTATTTCAATAATTCGCTTGCGCGTAGGGGTCTTTAGCAGTGGGAGGAAACCGGAGGACCCGGAGAAAACCCACGAGGTTGGACAGGCGACCCTACTCCTTGTCACGTACAACCGGGGATTGGTCGAACCTGGACGAACGAGGTACCAATATATGACCACATAGTCATCTACATACTAACCTGGGATGTACAGAAATGGGCGTCTGTCGGGGTCCAGTTCCTGGGTGTGGCCCTGGTGACCCCTAGAATGACCCCCAAAATGGGTTAAACTCATACATTCGAGGTACCGGTTGAAACCAATTTTAAATATAAGAGTACATTTCACTTAGTTCAAAATTGCCCTTAACATACGATTTGGGCCCTGGGATGGCCCAAACTGACACCCTAAATATGGACTCCAGATGGCTTGAAAAAAGTCTGTATTCATACATTCGAGGTACCAGTTGAAAATAATTTTAAATGAAAGTGTATACCCCGCTGAGTACGAAATTGCCCATAACAGACGATTAGACCCCTGGGATGGCCCAGACTGACACCTCAAAGGTGAAGGGGGCCAAAAATGGGGTATACTCATACATTCGAGGTACCGGTCAAAACCAATTTTAAATGAAAGAGTACATCTCACTGATTACGAAATTGCCCATAACAGACGATTTTGGCCCTGGGGTGGCCCACACTGACACCCTAAATATGAACCCCTGGGGCTTAAAGAAAAAGGTTATATTCATACATTCGAGGTACCAGTTGAGATTAATTTTAAATGAAAGAGTATATCCCGCCGAGTACGAAATTGTCCATAACAGACGATTAGGCCCCGGAATGGCTCAAACTGACACCCCAAAGCCGAGGGGAGCAAACATGGGTTAAACTCATATTCTAGGTACCGGTCGAAACCAACTTTAAATGAAAGACTACACCCCACTGAGTACGAAGTGGCCCATAACAGATGTTTCTGGCCCTGGGTTAGTCCAAACTGACACCCAAAATTTCAAAAAGGTTATACTGAGAAGTTTTGAAACAATTTTCCCCTTGATTCGCATTCAATGTGAATGTAGGTGCCGTGTGTATGGTATTTGGCTAGAGTAACCCTCATGGAAGTATTTCTGAAATAGGGTAACCGTAGGAAATCTGGCCTCACAAGACCAATTTGTGCACTCGGTTCATAAATACACTGACTGCATCGTGTTAAAGTGTTGCAATGAAACTTGGAGGTACCAGTTGAAACTAATTTTAAATGAAAAAGTACACCCCACTGGGTACGAAATGGCCCATAACAGATGTCCTCCAAGTTTCACTACAACATCTGAACATGAGGCAGTCAGTGTATTTATGAAGTGAGGCCAGATTGGTCTTGTGCGGCCAGATTGAAACCAAAGTAAAATCATTGAATGCATCATAGACATAAGAACTACACCTGTAGTGTTATTATTGTCTTTGTACCAGACCATCTTGTGAACCTACCCATTGAAATCACCAGCAAAGGACAAAACTGGCTATAGGGCTGTCATTAAGTACCTGCAACTGAAATGACTAACCCCAACACAGATCCAGTATACAGGCCGACATTGTCTCCAATATGGGGAATGATGCCCCTTCCTTTTCCACAGTAAATAAGTGGGCTGCCGAATTTAAGCGTGACAGAGAGAGCCTTGACGATGACCCGCGTCCTGGAAGGTGATCAACAGCAACCATTCAAGAAAACTACCCGGGTGCATGACATGGTGATGGCTGATCGACGATTGACCACTCGACATAGAAAGAGAGAGAAATGGGGTTTAACGTCCACTCGACACAAACTAGGTCATTTCGGGACTAACACATGGTTCAATTTTATTTCAATAATTCGCTTGCGCATAGGGGTCTTTAGCAATGCGGAGTAGCACACCTTGTTCCTCGACACGTAAGACCATTGTTGGCGTTAGCTGAACCTTCTGATACCGTCTATACGTTTAAGATTTGTTCATTTTCGTTTAATCACACTTGTATTACAATGCTATTGGTAAGGTAAGACGTTAAAGTGGGAAGATTATGATTGTATATTCTTTTTAAAGGAAGGTTCATCATCTTCATCGTTCTTTCAATAAGTGTTATGTACCCAACCAGCTCAATGTATAATGCACGAAAATATGACGTCATCATCTGATTCTCTGAGAGTTTTCTTCAAGATCAGGTGATCATTTAACCCTTTAGTTTCACATTTAAACACAAACTGAAAAATTTCAACACATCTCCCTCCACTGGACTAATTGTTCATTCTGGCCTACACTATAGATAATTATGTGATGCTCGGGCATGAGATTGCAAAACAATAGTTTATAATGGCTGTCTGTTTTGTGAACAGGCTGTACGAATTCACTGGCATGTGGTAAATAATATAATGTTTACAGACTTGACTTCAAACACATGCCTTTTAAAATATAATTTTAATTTAATTTATTCTCTTCTTTTAAACATCCAGACGTGCTACAGATTGACAAAATAATCTAAGGTGATGAATCACTGAATCGCTTTAAATCTTCTGTCTTAGAAAAATACTGAAACTGTCTGTTCAGTACTACTTGGAAACTTTACTCAAGTTTAATTTCTAAAGGTATTGTCAACGTAATCGTGTGGTTATTATTTTATAACACATGGCCATAAACCACTATCAAAACGAGACTGTCTTTGATAATATCACAAAGTTGCAATTTCTAGTGGGGGGGGGGGGGGGGTATTAGAAATTATTGTTAAATGGTTGTTTCCAGTAATTGATAATGGCTGTTGGTGACAATGGATACAAGATAGTCTCTATCTACCACCGACATCAATTGACATTAGCTACTCAATTGAGTACATTGAATTCAAGTGAAAACTCATTGAAAATAAGGCATTTTCAAGACACACATGCGGCGTGCGGCGTTCAGTGTAGTAGCATCCAGAGAGTATTGGTTACCGTACTTTTTGTAAGAAAATTATATATAATGATTCATGAGACTGTAATAAACACTAGGCGACAATTTGGCATTTTATTACTATTTATATCTTGTGTGTGAACCGTAGTTTATGTTTGTAATAATTGAACTGTGATACGTGATTCATAAGTAAATTATTTACACATCTACGTGACTGTGATAAAATTTGTAAACTAAGACGTAATTTTAGGGAAATAACTCATGCAGATGTTAGTGAGATAAAGTGTAAAGATCCAAATTCATTAAATCAATTTGATTGCAGACGACAGACAGACATAGTAGAACAGCTGCCAGAATGAACATAGCAACAATTAGAAAGGGTTGATAGAACTATCAACCTACGCATTTATCTTTTTATTCACATTTTAAAGTTACAGTTTCGGCTTCAGTTTTTATTTTAAATAAGTGACAATATACAACAAAAGTTGTGTGTATACATTAAAAACCCAAGCTAACAGTGTAGTACAAGAGCTAGTTATCAAGTAGTCTACTGAGGTCCGACAGACGTATATGGCACCTCGTAGTTCACCAGACAAGCATTGGATAAACCAGAGTTCGGCTTACTTTCCCTTCCCTTTGGTGCGTTTGGTTAAATAGGCTAGTATTGTCTGTACATTGATGGTTGAATTTTGTAACCTTTTCAATCAATCAGATAGCGTATGATCGCGGATGATGGATGAGTCTTTGTATTCCGAAATCGTATGAAATATCCGGAAAACGATCAGTTAAGGAATGCAATAG